CCTCACCCACTGGCTTTCACTGCCAAAGCACCCGTGGGTGCTCAGGTCCTGCGGCACCAGCAGGAGCCCGTGCCAGGGCTGAGCTTACCTGGCTGTGGCTTGGCTGTAGAAGCAGGACCTGGTGCCGTGCCCCCGCGCCGTCAGCAGGCAGTGCACATAGACCTGCGGAGACACCAGCCCCGGGCAGGGCATGCCACCACCGTGTCCTTCCTCGGGGACCCCGCTCTCCTCCCACCCACCCCCATGGGGTTGGAGCACCCCAGTGGGGAGCAGGACGCCCCAGGAGGGATGGTGCTTTGGGAGCCCCAGGCCGTCCCCAGTAGGTCCTCCCTCCCACCACCAAAGACATCGTCCCAACCTTACCTCCTCTTCCTCAGGCTCATCCTCCAGCACGGGGGCCGGGATGGTGAGCTGGAGGACAGACACCCCTCTCTGGTGCTGGACGGCCACGCTCCCCAGCTTCTCCCCTTGCAGGCACCTGAGGCAGGAGTGCAACATGGGGACATTCCCAGGCTGTCTCCAGGCCCTGGACATCCCTCCCATCAGCAGGTCTTGCAGGACCTCAGGGTGCCTGGAGCAGCGGTCCCCATCTCCCAGCCCACAGGCACTGACCCATGGCTGTTCGCCACCATGAAGAGCCTCCTGGGGTGTCCCAGCTGCTCTGAGCTGGTCCCATAGCACTGGTCCACATAGATCTCCAGGGAGATGCCAGGTCTGAAGTCAACCCTGGCCTCCAGGCGGATGGCAGAGCCGGGGCTGAGCACCAGCAGCTTCTTTGTGGCACTGGAGTCTCCTGAAGAAGAAAGGACGGCTGGTTCAGCGTGACATCCTCAAGCCTGTCCCACCACAGACAGAGACATCAGACACATCCCGGAATACCACTCATAGGTGTCTTTGCCTCCACCCTTCCGAGGCAAGTACCTGCCTGCAGCTCCTCAATTTCAGAGCCCATCCACTGTCTCTGGAATATAAGAGTTGTTCTGGCTCTGCCACCCCACTCTGGCTTCCCCACCTGCTCTCCAGAGCTGCAGCACCTTCCTGGTCCCCTCCATGGAGCTGAGAGGGACCACGACACCCATCAGAATGTCAAGGGGGAGCTGATCCCCAAAAAGCCAACCATGAAGTCAAGCACAGGATGGGGAACATCTTGAAGCACCACTGTTCAAAGCCCTACACCCTCTGCAAGACTGGGAGGGATGGTCCTGCAGGGACAACCACCTTCTCCTGGTGGGTCCTAATGCTGAGGCCACTCAGGAGAAAGCTCTGGGTGCTGATGGTCAAGCCCCAGGGTCTTGGCTGGACCCATCCTGTGGTGTCATCCCCCAAAGTTGGCACCCAGCACAAGACCCAGAGCACTCACCATCCAGGACCTTCAAGGTGAAGTTCATGCTGGGCTCCTCGGAGTGGAGGTGAGCACGAGCCCCACCAGGCACGGTGGCAGTGGCAAGCACTGGGGCTGCAGCCCTTGCCCCCATGCCTGAGGACACCACTGTGCGACTGAAGGATGCTGAAGTCACTGGAGCCATGGTGGTCCCTGCAGCAAGGAGAGGGTTTAACCAGTGGGGCTAAGCATGCAGCAGCTGCAGTAGCATGTCCCAGGCACAGCAGGGACATCCAGGTCCTCAGATGTCCCCATGACTCATGGAGGGCAGGTGGTGCCACACAAGGAGGGGAGAGCACCCAGGAGCTCAGCTGGGTTCAGGCACATTGGGGTGCTGCCCCAGCCAGGGTCTCCCTTGGTCTTGGTGGCCACACCCTGGCATGGGACCACTGTGTTTGCTGTGGTGGTTGGTGCTGGAGGAGGTGGTGCGCCACAAGGTTCTCCACAACCCTCCAGAAGTGCAAGGTTAAGCATCCCCAGCCACCCCAGCACTGGGAGCCCACCCAGGGTTGGAGAGGGACCAGGGGCTGCTCATGAGACAGGAGACTCTTGCCGGCAGCCATATACCCCACCAGTGGCTCTAGTCCACCCTCCCAAACCAGGTCCTTAGAGATCTGCTGAGACCTGGGGACACAGGGAGCTCCTGGCAGGTCCCCATCCTCCAACCTCACATCCCCAGAGCACAAGGCCATTTTAGGAAGGCTCCTCTCCACCAAGAAGAACTGCACCAGTAGGTCCAGGAGAGCACCAGGAACCAGCACCAGGCAAAATCAAGGGGCACTCACCACCCTCCTGCACCCAGACATGGGTGTCACCACCCACCTCCCCCAGTACAACCACCAGAGAG